CATCTTTGTATCTATAAGGACTAGAAACTAGTAGTGGTCAGAAGTCCTCTGATCTTTGTAATGGCAACCTGGTTTCCTTTAGGGCAGTGGTCCCCAACCTTAGTCCTCCAGATATTCTTGGACTTCAACTCCCAGAAATCCTGGCCAGCAGAGGTAGTGGTGAAGGCTTCTGGGAGATGTAGTCCAAGAACATCTGGAGGCCCAAGGTTGAAGACCATTGCCTTAGGGCATAAGAGCGAGCCCTAAGGAAAGCCGCATCCACCATCTTTGCAAAGATGGCAGTGGTGACAGAGGCCAAGGAAATGATGCATTGGGGGCAGTGGGAAGGAGGTGGAGGGCAGGCTGTTGGGGAGCAGGGGCTAGCCTACCCTAGCCCTTCCTTCTCTGCCTATGGGCCTGCTGATCTCCAGCTACAGGGATGCATAAAATGGGTAACTATTCATCCCTTCGTATTCACTGAGGTCTGCATAACTGACGAATATGAAGAGAAGAATATTTGACAAATCAGTGATTTCTGACGAATATTGTGACTCTTTATTTGCCCCCATGTCTACTGACAGCTCTACAAAATAGATGCCAGAGCAGTTGCAAGGGGATATAAAAAGCACCAAATGTCTGCTGTATTAATTTCAATGTTCCCCTTCCACAGGTCAAATAGTTGACCTTTTTTTAAAACACTGTTTGGGACTTGAAGAATCTGTTGGGGTGTTGCTCTGACCCAAGGATGGCAAGGAGCTCCCTGCTCTACCCACAATAGCCCAATTCCCCTGGGTTTGTTCTGTATTTACACATCTGTCAGAGTGCACATGCCTCCCAGAAACTTGTTCAAAATATTAAGGGTTTGAGAAGAAACCTAAAATGCTCAGAGAGCTGAATTCTCCACCTAGGACCATATCCTGATCATTATCAGAAAAAAAACATGTATTTGCTGTTTTAATGATTACTGAAAGAATGCATAAATAATATGACGTGGTGCATCATAAACATTTGAACAGCACAAATATGTATGGGGCTGTCTGTGTCCTTAAACTATCAAGATGTTGAGATGTTCTAGAAAGACCCTTTTAAGGATACCATTACCTCTAGAAGTCCACTCAGTGGACACACCCAGACTGTGGAATGTCCTCCCTTCACAACCACAATGTAAGTTCCCATAGCTCTTGCTTATCAGAAAGAGGACGAAGGCGCATTTAAAACGGCTTTGATGGTTTTTAACAAAATTATGGAATGTATTTGTTTGCCTGGCTAATTTGCTTTCAATGACGATTTTAATAGAGGCCGGTCCATTGAATACAAGAGCAAAGGGTCACTGCCCACAATTCCCTTCCTTTCCTGTTTTCTTCCAGCCTGTATAGATAGGAAAGCTTGCCTGCCTGCTTGCCTTGCTGAGTGAATACCTGTGAAAACATATATCAATGCCTACCTCTGGCCTGGCTCTTCTTGTCTAATCAACACTGCACTTTGTAATTACGTTAGTCATCTTGAGCCTTGCACGTTACACAGAAAGGCAAATGAACAAATAGATAACGCAGCTAAACAAATACAAATGAACAAATAAAATAGTATGACGATGCCACTTTGTTCAAATGACTGGCGAGTATCCACCAAACATGGGGAAACTTATAAAACATCTGTGAAACTTCAACGGTGATATAAAGTATCATCATTTCTATGATGGGAAGTTAAGTCCCTCCAAGTTTTCCAGAACTTGCATAGCATGGTATGGGAGACTTTAACTGCTAAGGCAGAAGCATTAAACAGTGATTTTAGCACAGGATGCAGATGGCTTAAAAGGGTGACGGACAAAGAATGATTAAAGGGAACGCATAAAGGTCAAGAACTCATAAGACGCAGAACATCGGGACGCTTCTATCAGTTGGGCCCCCCACAAAAAGTACATATTACGGTATTACAGTTGATCCTTCCAAGTAAAAGAAAGGGGGGGGGGAAATGAAGGAAGGTTAGAGAATTCTCAGCTGAAACGCCTGGCCGACAGGGAAGGATGCAATATATTTTAATTAAATATATTGCATTTTAATTGTTTTGTCTTTTTTTGGCATTTTAAATGTTGTAAGCCGTCCAGAGACCATTGGGTAGTGTGGGCGGCAGATAAGCTAAATAAATAAATAAATAATACAGCACCATCAGTGTTTAGAGCTGCCACAGCCAAAGCCAAGCTCGGATCAAGGATCAGGCCCAACCTCCGGCAAGAGAGGAGCAAAAGGAAGTAAGCCAGTTCCGCAAGAACATATACTGTGTATTTCAGGAGCTAAATGGAAAAAGGAGCACGACGGGCGAAGCTGAGCCCCTTTCCCGCGCTCGGCCAGGCGAGAGGAAGTCCCACCCCCGCTTGGCCGAAGCGCAACTGGCAAGCCCTCCTCCGAGGATCCCTGCCTTTTGTAACGCCGAGGCTGGAGGGGGGAGAGGAGGCGGGCGGTGGCGGCGGAGGCAAAGCCCGTTCTCGAACACCAGGGACGCGCCCAGACAAGGTCAGGCTCGGGCCAGAGCCGCGCCCTCTGCCCGGGTCGGATCGGCTTGGAGGGAGAGCGGGGGCGCGGGGGGGGCGCGCTCTTTGCTCTCTCGCTGCCGCGACGCTTTCGTTTCCAACCCGCGGCGGGCTGGATCTCCGCGGGCAGCACGTGATTCCCGGCCAGGAGCCAGTGGGACGCTCTTGACGGCGATCATCATCATCACCACCACCTGGAGGGGGCGGCTCCTGGACTCCTCCTTGCTCAGATCCCCAGCCGGCGGAGGAGCAACTGGCGGGGATCGCCAGACGACCGGAGGTTGACATCGGAAGGGGGGGGGTTCCTTGGGCGCGCCTGGAAGCTCGGGGAGAGGAGCGAGCCATGGCTTTCGGGAAGAGCCAGAAAGATCCTTTCGGCACAGCCGTGGGCCACCTGATAGGTAAGCGGTGCCCGGCGGCGAGCTTTCCCCCTCCTTGGACTTCGTAAAGCAGCGGGCAACTTGGAGCCGGCGCTGCGTGTGGCCAAGGGCGGCGGGAGGATGGTGCTGGGGCAGAAGGGTCCCCCCGTCCGGGTATGACTAGGCAAGACCCGGGAGGAACCCCGTCCCCCCATGCGAGGTGCTGCCTGTCCCTGTGTAGACCCGCCTTTCCCATCTGTGCGTGTCCTCCTGATGGGTGTGGGGCGACAGCTCCCAATCCACCGTGGGAATGGGGGTTGGAGGCGGAAGGCACCGCAGTCAGCGGCGGGCAGAAAGAGCCCTTGCCCCAGGTGAGCGTTCGCGCACCCATCCAAGCACATTCACACAAAATGGCAATCCGTTTTCTGCCTTTGGTGAGGAGGCACATGGGGGGGGGGAAGGATGGCTGTGGGTAGCCTGAGGGCAGGGGCAGCACTGCTTTGACCAAACGGACCGGCTGAGATCCTTGGCGATTGCCCTTCTTCACCTCCTACCTGGTGCCACCTTTGGGTAGACTCCTTTCTTCCTCGATGTAGATAAGGAGGGGACGGAAAGAGCTTCCTCTTCTGCCTTTGGTCCTACCAAGGATGGCTGGACGAAAAAGAAATTAAACTTCGTGCACCTTTAATAAACTGTATGGAGGGGGAAATTTCAGCACATGTAGCTTGTGTGCAAAGCGGCACCTGCTCAAACTTCCTCTTCTAAGCAACTGTTAACAATGCGGGAAGCCCAGTGTCTTTTTTTCATCAGGCCACCGGGCTCGGACTAGAAATCCCGGACAGCTTCTGATTGAGGCTCCCATCAAGGTGCTGTGGTTTTCTTGTCAGGGCAGGCCAAGGCAGTCCAACACATGTCACCAGCTCCTGTTGATGTTTTTTTTTTTTCCTGGCCAGTGGGGGATACCTGGTGGGACTGGGACACCTAGGCTGTTATTCGTTTCCTTGCTGTTGGGCTATCACCTCTCCAGCTCCTGAAGGGATTCCCAGGCTTTGAAAAGATATCCTGTTGTCAGAAATCAAACAGCTTCATTCTAATCTTCCTCTGCCGCCTTCTTTTTAAAAAGTTGTTTTTGGGGGGGGGGGCACTCCTTGTACTTTAGCCATACTGACAGGAACAGACTGATAGGTAAAAAAGGCATTGGAGCCCTTGTGAGGACATTGGGGGGGGCACTCATTGTACTTTAGCGACACTGACAGGAACAGACTTTACTTTCTTAAGGCTGATAGGGAAAAAAGGCATTGGAGCCCTTGTGAGGATAGGGAAGTTGACACCCTCTTTCTGGAAGGGCTGAAGTCACTAGAGAGAACTTTAGTAAAAGTAGCTGGGGATCAGAAGAGGTTTTGCCTGCCTGTTCTGAACTGCTTCCTCCAAAACAAAGAGCCTTCCCTCCATTTTGGGACGGTCCTTTCAGTGCTTCTAAAGAGGCCAATTGCAGACAGTTCGGGCTTGTTTTAGTTTTGGCCTGGTGACAGATGGAGTTCTTCCTTTCCTTGGGACCCCCCCCCTCCAGTCACATGCCTTAATATGGGACCGAGAACATCAGGGGCTCCTGTCTGGGTTAGCTTTTAAGGCAGGGAGCCTTTGGATTTTCAGGTTTCTTAAGTGATAAGAGATTATAGGACTTGTATTACATAACAGTTAGAAGGGCAAAGTTTTTGCCACCCTTCCTTTGTAAGCTACTTCAAAAGTGACTTTTGGCCACCAGGACCTATTTGTCAGTTCCCTTTTGCCACCCCTTTTCATCTCATTTCAAGAGACTGCAAGTCACTGCTGTGTATTTTTATTGATTGATTGATTGATTTGATTTGATTTATACCCCGCCTATCTGGACCACCAGACCACTCTAGGCGGCTGTATGTATCGATGACGGAAAACACTGCATGATTTACCTCCTGTTTACGTTTCTTCCAGCAGGAACAGGCATTACAGATAGCCCCTGATAAGAAGAGCGGGTTCTATAGCCTGAGCACACAGAAAGAGTGTTTCTCACCTTGCGATTGGTGTTTAGGGCTTGAATATGGCAGTCCTTTGAAGTTTGATACTCCCTCAGTCTTTTGTGCATCTAGCGCTAATCATGGACTATTTATAACATCATCTTCTGCCCTTGGTTGTGTGAGCAGTGAGAGAGCTGCAGATATTATTTATTTTTTGGTGACGTGTACATCCTGCAGTGTGGACTTCAAGGCAGTCCTCCTCACAACAACCCCGTGAGGTAGATCAGACTGAGCAACAGTGACCTGCCCAGGTCGCTCAGAGAGATTCTTGACTCACCAGGACTAGAATCAGATTCTCCTAAGGCTTGGTCCGACTTGTAACCATTGTACCACACAGACTGTCAGAGACAGTTCTTTATGTTGATCAACATATCAGATACAGGGTTGCCACTTTCTGGAAAGTCTGGGAGATAGAAATTGGTCAGGGAAATTGGTCTGAAATCAGGAAAAGTCAGGGAAATTGTGATCAAAATATATTCAAGCCGTGGACTTTTGACCTGCTGCTGCAAGAGCTGCCTCTGTTCTTGTGGCAACTGGAATAGATAAGTAGCAGAATACAAGTAAAACTTCATGATGCCCTTTCCCAGCTTCACCTTTTTCTCAGCTCTACCCTCAGCCACCAGCCTCATGCGTTTGTTGAGCTCTGACCCTGTATAATTTCCAAAATCTGCCTGTAGCATTTGCAAAGCAAGGCCAGTTTAAACATTTAGCAAGATACAAATTTTAAACATCTAACTGTTTTCATCTCTACCTGCTAGTACTGCATTCCACTGTGTGAGAGTGAGGCCGAGACTAAAGAGCCTCTCGATGGAGTGACGTCCCTTCCACAGACAAGAGAAAGAAAGGTTCAGACTTCTCCCATTCACGCTCCTCGGAAAAGAGAACAATGGGGCGCTGATATCCGGGAACTGGAGCAAGAGTTACGCAGGCTAGAGATAGGGTGACCCATCCCGACAGAATTGGCGGGAAGAGACAGATATCAGAGGGTGGAGATAGAAGCAGGAATGGCAGGGATAAAAAGGGACAATAGTCAGTTACCGCCAGTTTGGGAATGGGTCTGGCTACAAAACCCTTGGACAGGGGTCTGGGAACATCTAAGAGTACCCAAGGAAGAAGCCGATTACCGCCGCAGGAGAGAAATCCCCCCCCCATACCATCTTACTGGGGAGAGGAAGAGGCTCGAGAGTGGTGGCGGAGGTTGAGAGAGAAGAAGGAAAAGGTGGAAAGGGAAAAGAGAGGTAGGTTGACATGGGGGGGTAGAGAAGATGATGAGGAGAAACTATCCAGAGGACTGAAGGAAAAGGTGGAAAGGGAAAAGAGAGGAAGGTTGACATGGAGGGTAGAGAAGATGAGGAGGAGAAACTATCCAGAGGACCCTGGGCGACCCTTTCTCCCACCAGAGATGATGGATGGGCAAAATTCGCAGAGAAGGAAACCGTTCCCTTATTGGAAGGAGAGACCAGAGAGGTTCTAAGGGAAGAACCAGTGATGGCCTGGCCCGGCCCGTGGAACGCATCCAGAATCAGCCCTTTTCTTGAAGAAGTGTGGAAGCCCCTGTCTGACCCATTAGTGGCAGGTGAAAAGTTATGGGACCCACTTCTTGATACCAGACTCCTGTTGAATAATCCAATAAACCTTTCTCCTGATTCAAAATCAAAAAGTCCTCCTGGTTCCTTTAAAGAAATGTCGGATCCAAAATACGAGCCCTCACAAACTGACATAAAAAGATGAGCACGTTTTTGGGTCATGCTTGTGCATGGAATGGATGTTTTGTCTCCTGCTAAAAATGTTGTGTCATTTGTTAGCATTGAGAAATGACGTTTGTATCTTGGTGTAATTTTTGGTGCAATTGCAAAACAGATGTTGCTGCAGTTAATGTTGAAAGAAGCTGATATTAAATCTCTTTCTTTGACAACTATTTTTGGAGTTGAAACTTGTGTAATTGTAGAGAGGAACATTTCAATAAGACTTGCATTAAAGCAATACAACCTGTTCATTTTTTTAAACTTGTGGTTATATTTGAACGGTGGTGAGGGAAATTGACAAATGTTGGTCAGGGAAATGAAAAATAAAATTTCAGTGGCAACCCTGCAGATAAAAACTGGCTCTCAGCGTTTATACTTTCTGTCCTCTGTCTTCTGTCCTTTCACCTAGTGGTCCTTCTTCCTTACCCTGTGTTGTCCCAAGAGACTGGAGGCAATGAAAAGGAGAAATTCAGTTTCCCTCTTGGAGTTTGTGTTTTAACAGCTGTCATTTTTCTTAGCCAAGGCACAGGTGCCATCTGCTTAAAAAATCCCCTCTTTATACAACAGTTATTAAGAAAGGATAGAAAGCTTTGCACAATCCTGTATTCTCAGTTGCTGATGACTTGTGACTCACTTCTAAAATTTGGGTCTTCTTTCTTTATTTGTATTGGGGCACTGCAGAATTTAAAATTATGGGTGTATACGAAACATAGGTAAAATTAAATTTTAAAAAAATGTTAAGATAATTAGACTGTTTTTGACTGGAAACAGGCTACTTTGATAGCATTTTGTTGGTTATTTGCTCGATCTTTTTTGGTACACGTAAGTGTTGCACCGATTGAGTTTCTCCACAGTCTCAGAAAATTTCTCCTGTATCCAAGTAGCCCCATTTTACTTGATTATTCTTTATCTTCCCACTTTGCTTCAATGTCTATTCAGTGACTTCCAGATGATCCAGCTAGAGTCTTGTCCTTCCATATTCATTCATTTGGCAAGGTGTGTTGTTTTTGGTCTCTATAGGTTTATCTTAGCTCGAGATGTGTGCAGAAAACCTTTCCTCTAGGGGTTGGTGTCCATGAAGTGTTATTACCTTATTTTGTTCATTTGTTAGTACGTCTCAATGTACAGCTGGAGGGGCAATGTCAGCCAAATCATAAACATTTTCAGTTGGGGATAGATTTCAGAAGCCAGCAATAATCCTGCATGATTCATTGAGAGCCACATTCACTTGTTATATCACTTGCATTCTGTTGTGGAGTAACACGGGGACAACGCCATTGTGATTGTTTATGGGTGTACATTCCCATGTGACCCATTCAGTTTCCTAAGTATGTTATTTCTGGCAGCAGTTTTTTGTTTGGTTTTTAGACAATGTTTTTTGTAGGTCACAGTTCGATCCAGAATGATGCCCAAATACTTTGGGGTAGGGCACTGTTCTAAAATCTTGCCTTCCCGGCTAACTTGGAGCTTCCTCCCTACTTATTTATTTATTTTATGTATTGAATTTATACCCCGCCCATCTAGTTGACTGACTACTCTGGGCGGCTAACAACATATAGTATAAACAATTTAAAATATAGAAACAAAGCAACACATTAATAGACAGTGCTCAAGATGGAAAAAAGTGAATCAAGTGGTGGCTGGAGGGAAGGCTTGCCTAAACAACCAGGTTTTCAATTGGCCTTTGAAAATACCCAGCGAAGGGGCCATACAAATCTCAGAAGGGAGGTTATTCCAAAGGTGAGGAGCCACTGCTGAGAAGGCCCCGTTTCTAGTTTTTTCCTTCCGGGCCTCCCTCCGCGTTAGGCTCGTCGACCTCACCTCCTGGCTAGATCAAATGATACAAATAGATTTAGGTGGGAGTAGGCGTTCCGTCAGATATTGAGGCCCTAAACCGTTTAGGGCTTTATATGTAAGCATTAGAACTTTGAAATCAACGCGAAACCGAACGGGCCGAACTTCTCTGTTCTATAAGCAGAAGGTACAGATTTGTGTTTTTAAAGGGTTTGGTTTCAGCTGGTTGTTTTTATTATATAAGGAAATATGTTCTCATGCAGAGGTTAGCTGGTGCTCAATGGCCTCAAAAGTTTCCCTGGACTGTCAAGGCAAGATCATCAGCATAGATGAAATTCTTGGAGTATGGGAACATCAGTTGATCATTTGTGTAACTATTTAAAAGTAATGGTGCTGGGAGGCTACCCTGTAGGAGACTGTTTCTTAGATTTCTCCAGCAACTGTGCCTCCTTTGAAATTCAACAAAGAATCTTCCATTTTGAAGTAGAATGGCACAGTTTCTACTAATCCAGGATCTTTGGTAAGGAGACAGAGCTTTTTGAGCAGCAGTTGATAATGGACAGTATCATATGCCGGTATAAGACCGACAAATGCTGCTCCAGCCATATTATATGTTTCAAAACCATCTTTTATATGCAGGTTTGTATTTAAGACTTAAGCCGTACAGCCAGGATGGATTTGATTTAAATCACAATTCAATTTTTTTTAAAAATCAGGTTTTTTTGAGGATTTAAATAAAAAATCATTTAAATCACAATTAAATTTTTTTAAAAATCAGGGTTTTTTGAGGATTTAAATAAAAAAATTATGTTTTATTTAAATCAATTTGATTTTAAAAGAATCGTTGATTTTTATCCACCCTTTACATGAGCCATCAAGTGACCCAGGAGATGCAATAGAAATATATTGGTTAAGTCCACTGAATTCATCCCAGTCCAGTCAGATGAATTTCTTAGCTTTAAACCTTGCCTGACAGATGCTTATTTTCTCCCTGCTATTGTTTTCTTTTTCCAAGGAATGACATTTTCTTTACAAAGTTACAAATTTTCTTTACAAAGTTGCAAAATGTAAATTAAAACATCACCATCTTTGAAATAGCCAAGGGCATTGTTCTGGATTGCCCTAAAATGCATAGGGGCATTGACTGGTGAACTTGTAATTTAAAGAAATCTTTGTTTTCCCAGAAAAAAGTACTTTTGGAGCACTGCAGACAGAAGAATGGGGTCAGTTCATGCACATCTGCGACTTAATCAACACAACAGAAGAAGGGTAAGCTGGTTAATCAGTTTTAGAAAGTTTGCCCTGTCAAGATATCCCTACCTCCAGTTTTAGAATTTTGACTCTGTACTGAAATAAAGACCCTTTTTTTTTCTTTGTGAACTTCTGCACTTGCCATGCTTTGGTCTCTGTGTTAAGCTAAGCAAAGTACTAAAAATGTAAGAGGAGGTGATACCTGTATTAGACAAGTTTTTTTTTAAAAAAAAAATCAAATGAACAGCTGGCTTTCAATGTTGATCCATCTTCTGCAGGCTGTGTAGTAGGTTTTTGTGGATCGTGCTGTTTGTGTTTGTGTGTGTGTAAATGTAAGTCTCTGTGTAAGTTACTTTTTTGGAGCATAACTTCCAGAATCTCCCAGCCGTGGACAGTAACTTTTAAGTTCTGGTTAAAAACAAATCAGTAAAGACTCCTGTATGGGGAATTTTCCCCTGGTAGAGTAAGTAGTTGTTGAGACCTGACGCAGTGTTTTCCAGTTCACTTTGAAGTTGGCAAGTTTCCCACAGCCTGGTTGCTGTGCCTTGAAACTTTATAAGCAGCAGATAAAAAGTGACAATGTTTATCTCCCTGTTGCAAAAAAGTTCCCTTCTAGTTTCTCATTAAAGACACAGCTACGAATTAGCCTATTTTCACTAGCTCCTATTATCACTAGCTAGCATAAGCCATGGTGAGGACTGCTAGGAGCTGGAGTCCCATCACATTCCTGGGGCAGAGCAACTATGAAAGCAGTGTAACTTGCCATTTGGTAGGTCAGTGTGTCTTTTCCATGCCTCTGCACAAGGAAGGAAGCCACTGTTGCCTGTCTTGTGGCAGAACCAAATCTGTGCTTTCTCACTGGTGTTTTTCTTTTAACTAAACACTTCTGAAGGGCAGCAAGTTGGGGAAGGCTGCCCAAAGTTCAGACATAATTAAGATGCAGTGGATATTCTTCTCAGCTGCTCATTCCTGCGTGCAGATGACAGGCCAGGCCAATGAGAGTGAATGCTTAGGCTCGTCTCAGCTGCTCATTCCTGCGTGCAGATGAAAGGCCAATGAAAATGAATGCTTAGTCTCACAGCTCTGAACCTTTTCCTTTATGAGAGTTTTCTTTGGATTACTGTAAGCAAGACTTTAAAAACATATTTGCAAGCCTTATGGCTGAAGGGAGTCAAATTGCCAGCTTGCCTGTTGTTGTCAGTAAACATTTTCACCATGTGGTGAATGCATCTGACATTTCATATATGACAGCCATAACAAAGGGAAGAGATCCACCACTGTGACTGTTTGCCCTTCTTCCTCCCTGCAGTTGGCTCAACCATTTTACCTGCGTTTCACTGGCCAATCAGGGTAGTGCCCAACAGTCCACTTGCAGTCCCCTCATGGATCACCAGAGGCTTTGCATCCCAGTTTGGGAACCACAGCTTTTGAGTGAGCCCTGTGCAGATTTAGTAGGAACTAAACCACATACTGTTCAGCTTCTAGATAGGCCTTGAATTGCATACCACATAGATATACCTAGGATTTGGGTTTTGGGTTTTGTTTGATGTCATAAATATATCCTCTGACCTTCATTGTAAAAAATACCAAATGCTTCTAGGGTGGCTTGTGGACATCGCCATTAAAATTGACACGATAATTTTGATGATCCCTCTGCTTATATTGACCAACAGTGTTGTTCTCCAACCCGTGCCCAGAGAGTGTCCTCACTAACATTTCAGATCTGCAATTTACGTTGAGGGTTTGAAATTGTGTGGTTCTCCAGATCTGTATTGAACTACAACTTCCAGCATTCCCCACCCTAGGCTATTCTGGAAAGGGGCTGATTGGCATTGTAGTCTTAACGACATGTGGAGCGCCATGCCTTTCTCCAGCCTTGACTTAGGCAGTGGCTTCAGGGACTCTGCTGTTTTCTCTGTGCGACAAAACAGTCCCCTCTGCTGAGACAAAGGAATTACATATCCAAAGGCTGGTCACTTCATAGCAAAAGGTTTGTGGGCTTGAGTGTTCCTTGATCCTACCGTTTAATTGAGATGGGCAGCAAAGATATCTCTAACGTTAAGAGAACAATCATTGGCAACAGACCTGCCTTAGCCCTTGCCCTGCCGCTTGAACTGAGTGTTTTCCCCATAGTGGTTGGCAGTGGTTCCCAACCCTGGGTCCCCAGGTGTTCCTGGACTAAATCTCCCAGAAGCCTTCACTACTAGCTGTGCTGGCCAGCATTTCTGGGAGCTGGAGTCCACGAAGGGACCCAAGGTTGGGAACCATTGTCATAGAGAAAGCTTAGCTTCTATTCATGTGAAATCCTTCTCTTACACATTCTTTCACTTCTGTGTCATTATCAACCTCCAGAAAAAAATATATGGTGCTGCCAGAGCCTCCCAGCCTGCTAAGCCTTTACATTTTTCCTTAGCTCCATCAACTCAAAACTTTTCTTCCTTTGGAATTTTGTTCTTACAAGCCACAGTAGTAACTATAATGGGAGTGGCCTTATATTGGTGGCTTGTTGGCTGATTGTGCTTGTACTTGGCTCTAAAACACAAAAGCTCCCACAGCAGTAGTTCATCTGCTGTATCTTTTTTTTTAAATGCAAGTTAAATCCAGCCTTCAGGATTACAATCTGAAAAGACATAGCATGCAGGGGAAAGGGGTGAGAAGGGAAAAGGAGAACAAGAAAACTGGCACAGCTTCCTGACCCTGGCTAAAATCCAATAGTAAGTTCTAACTAGAGTAGGCCCATTGAGTCAGCAGATTTTACAGAGAAGTTGACTCACCAAATCCCCTCTAATTCAAGGGGCCTACCTCTAGTTGTGGCATGCTACTGGATTTCAGCACCTCTGAGGTCACTCAGCAAGGCTGGCATGGTTGCTAGGTGACCGTTGGGCAGAAGCAAAGCCTAGAGGAATCGTCTTCCTAGGAGGTCCTGCTTTCCTGCTCTCCTTCAACAGCCACTGAAGAAAGCTTGGAATATCTGGAAAATATATTCCTCTGAGTACCCATTGTAACAAGGGACTAATCATCATCATCTTAGAACTGCACATCTGGAAGGGGCCGTATAGTTCATCAAGTCCAGCCCTTGTCAAGGAGGCACAGTGGGGAACTGAACTCCCAACATCTGGCCCCACCACAAGATACCTAAACCACTGAGCTATCCAGTGAATACTCTTGCTTTGTTTATGAGCCACTGCTGAAGAAAACAGTCCTGGGCTAGGTGATCATTGTGTGATTCCCCCCCCCCCCAAAGATCACAGACTCAGTGCTAGCTAGCTGGAACATGTGATATTCTCCTTTCCCTTAACATGATATTGTAACCAAGTGTTTTTTTTAAGTGCGTATAGTCACTGTCAACACTGGAAAGAAAAAGACACATTCATATGTCTAGGAAGTGCCTCAGTCCTCCTTTGTTGCAGAATTCTGAAAGTCAGGAGCAGGTTTTCTTCTTGCTTCTACCTCGCCCTAGAAAAATGTGTGTCTGTAAACATGGATGTGCATCTCATCCCCTGTAGTGCAGCCATACATGAGGTGGCGTTCAGTTGTTTATCTGCTAGCATACAAAAAATTTGCCTGGATTGTTTTGAAGTTTCCTATAATTACACTGGAAGGGAGCCAGGATGCTACTCCGGCGGCTGCTTTTGACACCCCTAGTCTTGCATAATTCACCACCAGAGTTTTGATAGGCCATAATGTTACGAGCCTTTGACCCCACAGAGTGGGAGAGAGCATTTAGGCAACTAGCTCCTTCTTTTCAATAACTTCCATCTGATGCAAGCATGAAAGCAGAGATTGGTTGAATGAATTACACCTCCTTTAATGGTGTGGTTGTGTTAGGTGATATTTAAATACCATGTATGGTTATTATTGAATCTACATTTAAATGGATTCCACTGCATAGGGAAGAGATATGACATTCTGTTTTCTATGAAGTTTCTCAGTGTAGTGTGCAGATCTCTTACAGTACACTTACCAGATGGAAAGAGAAATACAAATCTCACAAGAGTATTGTTTGGGACTGCAGAAACCATCGGCTGTATTGGTTGCAGGATTTTGGGAGTTGTAGTCTAGAAATAATATTTTCAAAGCTCTGTAACAGCAAGAGCAAACATGACCTTTCCGTCTTGCATTATTTGTATTTGGTACGTAATGACTCATATGTCTTGCCAGTTCCAACACTGTACTGTGACCAAAAGTCAGCACTTGGGATTCTTCGGCTATGAAGACTCCTAGCAGAGATCTAGAGATTGGAGGAGGTTCAATTACTGAAGGCTGGGGATATTGGTGGTTACTAGCAGCACAGCATGGATTAGAGCTAGGGTGGATTAAAATAAATGTTTTTTTAATCAGATTGATTTAAATTATGATTAAAATCATGATTCCAGTTTAAAAATCATTTTAAATCTAAATTGGGATTTAAATTTTGATTTAAATCAAATTCACCCATTGGAACTGTGGATGGGTTCCTCCCTACTGTCTAAATGAAGGCTATGGTGGCGTCATTGACACCCAACATTGGCAATACAGGAGTGAGTGAAGGTGTTATAATAGTTCTTTCTGCTGTTATTGTTTTTCTTGAAGCTGAGGTAAGCAGTGACATTTTAGAAGGAACTTGGGAATTGCTGAAGTTGCTCTAGTTTGTATCAGATGACAAACCCTAATTAGTTGTCATCAGAGGATAAGCCCAAAGATGTCTGACTTGACATTATAGATTATTCTGAGGTGGTTAAAATATTAAGGCTACACGTTCAATATGTTATACTGCAAATAATGCTTTTTTGTCTGCCTTAACGTTCTCTGAATACCCTTTTCATTTAGTCATATGAATACTATGACTGTCTTTTGCACCAGTAGAGTATACTTGTAGACATGAGATGTTAAATATTAATACCCATCATTCTGGCTATTGGAAATTGAGGATGATGAGAGACTGAGTCCAACATCTGGAGATCAACAAGTTTCCCTTGCCCTTGCTATAGGGAGAAATAACACACTGCACATGGAGGACCCATGAAGGTATAAACAAAACCTGCCAGCCACCCCAAAACTGTGGGGGTTCAGTCTTTAGTTACAGGGAAACGTCACCTCCAATTGTACACCTTCTTGGGGTAGACCTGTGTGTACTGAAATGCAGGGTGGTTATATCAGTCTTCTTTTCAGTTTTGTGAAATTGGTATTCTGCATTTCACCTAGAAATAAATGCAGCAGCACATGTGTTCCCATACCCTTGCTTAATATTACTGAGTCAGGAACATGTTAAATCAATATTTCTTTTTTCTCTCTCTTTTTTCCTTTTGTTTCTCATAACCTCAGACCCAAGGATGCTGTCAGAGCATTAAGGAAAAGACTTTCAAAAAACTGCAATCATGTTGAGATCCGTCTTACACTGTCTGTGAGTACAAAACTCTTGGTTAAAGAGTTTGTGAACGGGTTGGCTCAACACTGCTGACACTAGGGGAGAGAGAGAGAGAGAGAGAGAGATGTTCTTTGGATCAAAGCCAGGGTGGTGAGTGGAGGGGAACATACTTGTTTAGAAATGCCCACGAGAAGAAGAACCTCTTGGGGAAGAGATGATCTTTTCTGAGCCGTACTTCGTGGAATGCCATCTGGGTTAGAAAGAAGCAAACTATTGTTGCATGTGGAAGCATCAGCAGAACCTCTTGACCAGAGCCTGGAAAAAGTTTATCTTTTGAACTACAGTTCCCAACATTCCCCAGCCATGCTGTGATCATGTTGACTGGGGATGCTGGGAATTTTAATCAGAACTTTCTTGTTAAGACTAGTTAAAAATCAGTGGTTTTTTAAATCAAAAAATTCTGATTTTTTTTTTAAAAAGGAAATCTTTTTTTATTCAAATAGGATTTCAAAAAGTGTAGTTAAAGTGCTGTTTCATTTTTTTAAAAATCCTATATGATGATAAATTTAATTTGAATTTATCAGAATCTGACTGTGTAAAGCCAATCACATAAGCAATTCTGTTTCTTCAGCCGGGTGTCCATGACATTCCATCATATCCACTCATTGAATCAACAGTCCTGCACCCAGTGGTGCACCGGACAGAAAGCCATCACACAGATGCCCTTCCATGCACAGTATCCCCTAATAAGGATTTTGGCCTATGTATTAACTCTCAAAGATGTCATAGCATTCAGGACTACCCTTTTTGGTGAGGGTAGTCTTTTTGAATAGAAATTTAAATCAATTAAATTTAAATCAAATCCCCCTGTTTCTAAATTCTGCTTTTAATGTTTGATTTCCGTCTTCCCCAAACTGACCAGAGGAATAAGACAAGATGATGAGGAAGAGAAGGCAATCCACATGTGGGAGCATTCAGAAATGAAGCGTTTGATCCCCTTCCAACTTCTGAGTTGTATATTGCTGGGGACCACTGTAAAGTCACTATTCCTTTCAAGGCACAAGCAGTGCACCCCTGCAAAATGAGCATACTAGTTTGGGATCCTGGAAGTTTATTCAGACCCGAAATCTCTAAAAATTGTGTATTTATTGGAGAGGAAGGGCCTGTGAGCTGTGTGCAAAGGGTCCATCCTTTATTGTCATAGCATCGTTGTAGGCCACCCATACAATGCGGTGGTTTAGTATTTTACTCAGAAAAATGCCTTCTTTTCTTTTTCTCAGATTAAGGAAAAGGTAAGTGTCATGTCATATTCAGGATGTTGTTGTTTCCGTGCCAACCCATTTCCACCTTGCAGATTTCCATAGTTTAATGACGTGACAAGATGGGGTTCCATGTCGTTACTAATGCTAAATAAAATCAGTTGAAGGTTCTTCCAGATGGCGCTGCTGTTACTCTTACTGTTACTGTTACTGTCGGTTGGTCATGAAAAAGCTCAGGGCTCACCAGGATACATGTCCAAACTGCATTTTTAAAAATTACTTCTCTGAAAGCCTCTTCTCCGCTAACAAAATCTGGATATCTTTTACAAACCTAGAATTCTCCTTTCTGGAGTCAAGTTGTTTGAGTTTTTGTGTGAAATTAGAACCTAATTAAAAGCTTCTGACCAGAGACACTTCACAGTCAGGTACATTTTGGAGAACTAATGCTCCATCTGAAAGAGTCCTTAGGCAGATACCCTGAACCACACATAAACATTAATAGCTCTGACTCAAATGTAGGTGCACAGGTGAGAGGTCCTGAAGTTACAGTACAAGGAGATACCCCTGAGCAAGAATCCTAGGTTTCTTTATTACTTTATTGTAGGCAGATGAAATGCCCGCCCACTGCTAGAAAAATGTCTGTAGACATCCCAGGTTAAGGCAACAATCCTATGTTCACTTATCAGGCCTGACGTCTAAGTAACACATCCTAAACTGGCCTGCAAATTTGTCATATAGCAATGAAAGAAACTAGAATTGTATATTATAGACATAGAATGTCTCCTAGCCCCATTAAAGAACCAGCCTGTGTGGCCTTGGGCAAGCTGCACGGGCTCAGGGTGCCCTCAGAAGAAGGGAATGGGAAACCACTTCTGACGACGTTGCTGTAAGCTGGAATCATCCTAATAGCATGTAATTTTTATTTTGTGTGTCCTCACCAAAACGGGCGACAAAATGGAGCAGAGGAATGCAGTGTTGGGAAACATTACATTAATATCTTGATAGTTTTCTTAGTCTTGGAAAACAAGAAACACAGAATAGACATTTGATTAAAAGGCTCTTTTTTAACTGGCCAAATCTTCGAGTGAAACTTGAAAAAGAAAAAAAGAAATAAATGTTTCCTAATGAGGTCATGATATCCTTTTAGCTGTAATCATACCTGCTCTGTTGAAGAAAAACAAGTTGGGACAGATGTTAATTATATGGGGATTAAAATGTAATGGCAGCAGGCATCATAAATACTATTGTAGTAGTGAACATTTTTACCTTAGCCAAAAAAAAAAAAAGAAAAGAAAAGAAAAGGATACGACACTATTTATCAGTGTGATGGTGAGGGGAACCCACAACTGGCAAAGCAGTCTCTCTCTGTATACCCCAGATCAGCTTTGAAGGGCTGAGGGACCTTTCCAGATCAATTCTGAGAGGGGGGGGGGTGTCACAGGAAACAGGAAAGCTTGGGGAAGTCCCTTTGTGCAAGCAAATTTCTCCTTGCCTAATACTGGATGTGGCCCAAAGAATTTCACACAGAGAATTCTCTGTTGTGCAGCCAGGGAATAAAAAAAAGGCTGGATAGAGTTGCATAAAACAGGTAGCACAGAAAGAAGGCATAAAGAGCAGCTTCAGCATAGAAGAGTGGTTGTTTATCTCTTACAACCAATAAATAGCAGGGAGTTTTGTTTTTTTCATGATTCTCTAACAACATTCCGTATTATGTAGGTTTTGCAGCCTAACCCTATATCTCATATGTTGTGACAAACAGTGTACAGCTTTGCCAAGGATGAACTGCATATTTGGAAGAGCTGGTGTTGTAGTTGCTGCAGAGCCAGCAAACAAGCAGGGCAGTCTCTGGGCTTCTGGTCCGATGAGGCCGTTACTCTCGGATGGAAAAAAAAAAGAGAAAATTCTGAATGAATCAAAACAGAAAACAAAAAGAATGTCCAAAAATGGACTTCAGATGTCCTAATCCAGAATAAGTGGGGTTTTTTGTTTTTGTTTTTGTGTTTTTGCTGGCTTGACCTGGCATTCCCAGGGTCTAATCTAGCCATGTGTTGTCATATAGTGATGGGTTGGGTAGTTTGTGTATTGGCCCACCCTGTCGTTTCCAACAAGGATAGGGCCAAAGACAGCCTTGCGTAGCTGTCAGCCCATTTGTGTGCCCCTACCCCCCCCTTGATCCTCATCACCAGAATTTTTGTGTGGGGGGGATTAAATAGTATGTCTCCTAGCCCCATCAAAGTTAACCACCTCTAGTTTAGACCTACATAAATGTTGTCTGAGTCAGACATGTATGACTCCCTTTGTTGTTTGGTAAATGATATAGTCACAGCCAACGGCAAAGGTGAGCACAGTTACCTTATTGGTCATAGTTTCTTATGCACCTGTATGGAATTTGGGGAATTTGTTTTTCAAAATCATTATTTGCATACGATAGGAAGTAATTAGTGAACAGGTTGACTGGCAATATTGTATTCTGTTATGAGCTAAGCTGCAGAAATCTGAATTTAATGAACGTTTTTGGGGTTGGCTAAGGATTTGGATCTGTTTTTCCTGAAGTTGTGTTCAGTCGTTTAGTCGTGTCCGACTCTTCGTGACCCCATGGACCAGAGCACGCCAGGCCCTCCTGTCTTCTACTGCCTCCCGGAGTTGTGTCAGGTTCATGTTGGTTGCTTCGCAGACACTGTCCAGCCATCTCATCCTCGGTCGTCCCCTTCTCCTCTTGCCATCACACCTTCCTAACATCAAGGTTTTTTCCAAGGACTCTTTTCTTCTCATGAGATGGCCAAAGTACTGGAGCCTCAGCTTCAGGATCTGTCCTTCCAGTGAGCACTCAGGGTTGATTTCCTTTAGAACTGATAGGTTTGTTCTCCTTGCAGTCCAGGGGATTGCAAGGAGTTACAGAAGTTACAGAACCACAATGAAGTTACAGAACCACAATGACTGGTAGATATATTATGACTCTGAATGAGTATATTTTCTTCAATTGTTTTCCCTATTTAGTTAGCTTCCTGAAAGCATGCAACATTTTCTAGATAAATATTTTGGGCTAGAAGGTGTCCCCCACCCCCATAATTTTCACATAATTTACTCTCCTGTTCTGCTTTTCTTCTTGACATTGAAAAAAAATCAAAGATATTCATTTTAATTCAGCCAGTTGAAGCAATAAATCACATATGGCTCAGTAATTGTGAAGATTGCAAAAGCATTGTTGGGATTTTGCATCTTATGGAGAAAAATATCAAGAAATTCTGTCCATAGTTATTCTACTCATTGGTGATTGAAGCCTGAAATACTTGGGATACAAGCTAATCCATCCTGCCAGCTCCACCATTAGTGAAGGCCAGTGGATCTGAAGTGTGGGGTAAGGCAGAAAAGTTTTGACGAAGCTTGAAGACTGACATATTGATTGTATGCAAGCTTTTGTGGACCATAGTTCTAGTGGACAGTCCAAATGAACAGGTGGTTATCATCTGTCTTGGTCTGTGTGAGTAGCAGTAATGTTGTCAATTCTAAGCCTTTCAGTGTTTACCTTTGAGTTTTAAATTGCCCTGTTGTAAAAGTAAAGGACCCATTGCCCTGCCAACGTAGCTGGAATACGACCTGGTCATATCTGACCATTAGCTTTTCTGGGGCTGATGGGAATTGGAATCCAACAGCATCTGAAGTGCCACAGAGTTTCCAAAACTGTTGTTGTACCTTGAATGTTTTCTCCAACCCAGTTTACCACTAGAAATCCTTTCTGAGATGAAAGTGCTACATTTATTTCTTTATCTGGTGTAT